ACCCCTGTTAAAATGTCAGGTTTCTGTGATGTAAAAAAAAGTGAAACAATGTTAAATCATCTCAGAACTTTTCCCACCTTTTAATGTGACCTATAAACTGTACAACTAAATTGAAAAACAAACTTAAATCTTTTAGGGAGGGGGATGTAAACATAAAAACCTAAAACAGTGTGCACACCCTCTTATAACTGGGGATGTAACTGTGTTCAGAATTATACAATCACATTCAAAATCATGTTAAATAGGAGTTAGTACACACCTGCCATCATTTAAAGTATCTCTGATTAACCCAAATAAAGTTCAGCTGTTCTAGTAGGTCTTTCCTGACATTTTCTTAGTCACATCCTACAGCAAAGAGAGCTTCCAAAGCATCACAGGGATCTCATTGTTAAAAGGTATCAGTCAAGAGAAGGCTACAAAAGAATTTCCAAGGCATTAGATATACCATGGAACACAGTGAAGACACTCTTCATCAAGTGTTTTTCAATGGAATTGTACAGGTTATAGTTCACATTAAAGGTGGAAAAAGTTCTAAAATGATTTATAATTGTCTCATTTTTTTTTACATCACAGAAATCTGATATTTTAACAGGGGGTGTGTAGACTTTTTTTATATCCACTGTACTGTATAAGTCTAGTCCTTCAGCATGATATTATCATTGTTCTTTACAGATCCTCACCTATCTATAAATGTCTATTCCTAACTTCAGACCTGTTTGGATTCATTGATGTAACCACTGGCTCATCTCATAACCATAACATTACCTGCATCTTTGGTATTACAGTAGCAAGTTGGCTTTGACCTTCAGCTTATTTTTTTAATTACACCCAGTATAATTCCTCTGTAACTTCCCATTTGGTACTAACCTTGAAATCTCTGACTACACCTATTTGTTGGCTCTTATGTATTGTGGAGCAGCCACCTCACTGAGATCAAATAATTAATTACTTGGGAGTTCCTGGGAGTATTTCAGTTCCAAGCCATGCACAAAAAGTGCTACCAAAAGGTACCCACTGAAGACACAACCAAGTGTCAGACCCTTACATTCTTTGTGGAGTAAATATTTATTTTTCTTTTCTCATTGTTTTAAGAGGGCTGTGGAAATAGAAATGCAATATTTTTGTTATGTATTTGATAAAGCAACATATACTGTACAACTTGTGCAATGTACTGACTAGAAATGTATAGTTTATTTTATTGATGTATGTTGTATCTATGGCACTTTTGAAAATAGTGGTGTCACGACCAAGTTACATATAATATTATGATATTCACTTTGATATATTAATTGGTTACAGTGAATATTTATTTTTGTTTATTATAACACTACATTTTATGGGCATGAACACAAGGATTGACTTGTTTAAATTTAAAGGCACAGCACAACATTTAGTTGTATATACTACTTTGTAAAAGCTTTAATCAACAACAAGCAGCATACAGAATGTCCCCACCTGAGATTCTCCCTTCCTGATGCATTCACCTTTATGGGCTTAATTGTACAGATATATGTAATATGGCTTCATTAGAACAAATAAAATTATTTCAAGCATTTAACTTGTTGGGAGCTATCTTTTTTTTTGTTTACAAACGATTTTATTGTATAAAAGTAGACTGTAAAACAACAGTACATTTTCAAAATAGAACTTTTCAGCAAAAACAAGGCACTTTTGAATAGTACATTACAGAAAGTATATTAACGTAAGAAAGAAAAGGAATAGAAAAAAAAATAGATAGCAAGCACATGAAATGTGTAAACGATGAGTTAGGTTAAATGATACATCTGTCAACAGTATATGCCATTCAACTTTCACTGGGAATGTAATTAATCATGCAATAAATGTCTATAATCCCTCCATGACCCCCATTTTTTATCAAATAAGTGCATCTTATCCAGCAGGGTATAATGAATGTGTTCCATGAGCATTGCAGTATCGATTCTGTGTAAAATGGAGGTCAAGGGTACAGTATTGGACTTCCAATGCAAGGCAATAGACCATAAAGTGGCAATACATATAGTATGTATCAATCTCATAATGGTATCAGAGACCCCCGGGATATGAGCCCCCAGTACACAGGTCTGCATAGACAATCGTACCTGGGTACCTGCCAGCGAGGTAGCCACCTGTTGGGAGCTATCTTAACAACTGTACGCCTAAAGTTTATGATGAAACTAATTTAAAGCAAATCTTTCAAGTAAGGAACCTTTGGATATGCAGGAGATCAATAATTAAATAAATCGCTTGTTTCTGCCAAATGTTAGTGGTTGTATTAATATTACACAGAAAACTGATTTCACTCATCATCCATATGGAATAATTATTTGCAGTGCTCAGACAAGGAGGAGATTCTCCAGCACCCATTTCCAAATACCTCTCTGCTATAGAATCTGAGATGTAGCTACCAGACACCAAAACTGCTGCTTTGCTGAATACTCAACAATGGCATCATATATTTACAAGATAAAATCATCATTTTTATATAAATAACAATGTATTTATTGCTTGTGTCTACTCTAAAATATTTTGATCTTGATGTATGTGACGTAGATCTGAGTGGCTTTAAATGAACAACCAAACACCAATAGAGAACACTAAAGATAGAGCTTGAATGTTTCATAGTATTAACTGCACAATCATATTGATGGAAATTCCAGTGCTTAACTGTACATTGAAAAGTGGGTTGTATTAAGTACACATCCCAATGGAAAACTCTGAGTTTTGCCCACTGAACCACAAAATTAAATTCATATGGAAGAAATCCAGATATACAACAATGCCAGAGTTTGTATCACATTGTATTGAAATGCTTTAAAATGACTACATCTTCACATGGGTATTCCAGAAAGAATAAATTAAAAATTTATGGGGTAAGAAAAGAAACACAATTTTAGTTAACTAGCATTTTTGACTGCTCTAAGGCTTTTAATGGGAGCAATGGGAATTTGTTCTTGGTGAAGTAAATCAGTAAAATGTTAATTTGTCTTTGAATGGGGTTGTTTTTAGGCCATTAATTTCTGCCATCATTAACAGATATAAAAATAAAAGTCAATGAGTAACTTTAAAGGAAGTAGAATTAAAAACGTAGGAGTATGAAACATCATTTTGCATGGAATTTTACAGGATTAAAATTTCCAGCATACTTTTATAATAGAAGGTTCCATGATATTTATTTTTTATACTCCTTTTTTATGACTTGAAGAAGTATCCATACTTGCAGTTAGAAATAGTTCCCCAACAGATGTTTAGACATTTGCAATCAGCAGCAGGAAGGATTATGAAATTAGCTTGTTGCTACAGTGAATCCTGTAATAGACTATTCAATAAACATACTGTACAAAAAGCTGTCAAAATGACTTTGCTTATATTACAGCTATAAACCTATAGGTGAACAATATTGTTTGCTGATGTCCATGCTGAACATTTATTTCTGAATTTGTGTAATGTTTTGTCTAGTTCCTATGGCAAAAGCATTCATACTCCACCTAATCCTTCCATGTTAATCCCAGTGTTCTTATTACAAATGGTGAACATGATAAACAAAGTTTCTGGCCTGACCTAGAGCCATTTCTACTTCTATTGGAAATCCATTTGTTTCCTAATGCTACTGGACACTAGAAACATCTGATCTTCTACCTAGCTTATTACGTTAGAAAACAAATATTTCTTGAGTGGAAACCTTCAGTTTCAAATTTTTTAGTTTCAGTGCTGTCACACTTTGAATAACAATTACTCAGTCATACAACACTGTACCAAATGAAATGTATATTTTTTAAGACTAGGTTTTCTTTTTTTGTTTAATATTTAACCACAAATGTGTTTTTTTTTTGTTATATAAAGGAAAAAAGACAGAAGATTTTTTTTAAGTTTCTCTTTGTTTTTGTTATACAATTTTGCAAATAAACAACCTTTCTTCATAAAAAAAATAACACAAAGCAGTACATATTATTTTGTCTGTGTAAAAGCTATAGAGTCTACACTCTATGGTATGTATTTGAAAATCGACAAATCCTGATGTACTGACTGACTTGAGGACCTAAAATGCCAGAATAGTACACATACCCCCTTTTTGGAAAGTAAACAATCCAGGGTGTTGTAATATTTTTGTCATAATTTTTTGTAAAATTAAGGAATTAAATTATTTTTTTATTACAAAGTAGTTTTTTTTAACAAGTTATTTCTCATATCCAGATTAGGCATAGTTACAATTACACCCCAAAACACATGTTCTACTCCTCCCAAGTATGGAGATACCACACGTGAGTCTTTTTCACAGACTAACCGTAAAGAGGGACCCAGGGAATAGTGAGTCTTACGAAACTGTATGTTTTTGGCAAATGCAGGAAATAAAATGAAAATGTATGTTTTTAATGGAAGCTATCTACTAGGATATTTCTAACACACAGCATGGGCATACTTATATAAAATAGAAAAATAATCCATGCTGGGGTAATCTCCTTCAAAACTACAGAACAAAGCTGCCATCATACAATGATGATAACAATTATTTCCAAACTTGAAATTCTTAAAGCAATACTAAATTCTCAAATACAAATTATAAACATGCACAGTTTATATATATATATATATATATATATATATATATATATATATAGTGCAAAAGGTGCATGGGTATGAACCATATACAAATAAAAGTGCAAGTGCATAACAAACTACAAATTAAAGTGAAAGTGCAGTGCTAAAAAGTTAAGTTCAAAAGGTTTCCACCAAATAAACACTATATGGCATATAACATTTCATGTACTGACTCAAGGTGTCTCTACACTTCTTTTTCCAAGTGTAAAACCAGTGCTTACACCACTATACACCACCATTAACCACAAGCCTACAGGGCACTTATACCCCCTTCCTTCCCAGGCCAATTTCCAGCTTTCAGTGCTGTTGCACTTTGAATGACAATTGCGCGGTCATGCAACACTGTACCCAAATGAAATTTTTATCATTTTTTTGTGACAGATGGAGCTTTATTTTGGTGGTATTTAATCAACTCTGGGTTTTTAATTTTTTCTTAAACAAACCAAAAACCACTGAAAATTTTGAAAAAAAAGTTTCTTAGTTTTTGTTATAAAAATTTTGTAAATAAGTGATTTTTCTCCTTCACTGACGTGCGCTAATGAGGCTGCAGTGATGAGCACTGATAGGTGGCACTGATGGGCACTGATGAGGAGGCACTGGTAGGTGGCACTGATGGGCATTGACATGCATCACTGATGGGCACTGAAAGGCAGCACTGATATATGGCACTGATAGGCAGCACTGATAGGTGGCACTGACTGGCACTGTTAGGTGGCACTGACTGACACTGTTAGTTGTCACTGACTGGCACTGATATGCACTGATAGGCGGCACAGACTGGCACTGATAGGCGGCACTGATAGGTGGCACTAATAGGTGGTACTGATTATCACTGATAGGTGACACTGAAAGGCAGCTCAGATGGGTACTTATATGTGGCATTGATGTGCACTGGTAGGCACTGATATGTGGCATTGATGTGGCACTGGCACGTGGCACTGATGAGCACTGACAGCTGGCACTGATGGACACTGACAGGTGGCACTGCTGGAGCTACACTGATCATCAGTGCACACTGATCATCAGTGCTCTGATGATCAGTGTACATGTCTCCTCCGCAGAATGCCGATTATCGTCTCTCCTCTCCTCACGAGCTGTCAGCGTGACAGCTCGAGAGGAGAGAAATGCGGATAACTGGCATTTCCCTGTTTACATATGATCAGCTGTGATTGGACACAGCTGATCACATGACCGAGCCGACATCTTCGGCTCTTTCCGTGGATCAGTGATCCGCTGTGTCCGAGGGACACAGCGCCGCCGATCACCGCACTCCGGGAGCCATGCATGCGCCGTTAGAATGGGAGGGCATCATATGACGTCCTCCCAGAACGAGAGAACCACCTTGCATCCGTCATATTACTATATGGCGGGCAGGAGGTGGTTAAAGAAGCCTCTTACCAAATGACATGGACCATTAGATTAGATGGTCAACAGTACTCACGTTCATTCCAAATCAAATTGCCTCCTAGTATAAACTCTGTCTCCACTGTGGATCCCCTCCATCACCGATACTTATAATTAAACCCCAAAGCACATTCTGCTACTCCTCCTGACCATGGTGATGCCACATGTGTGAACTTTTTTCACTGCCTAACTACATAGAGAGGCCCAAAATCCAAAGAGAACCTTCAGGCTTTTAAGGGGCATAAATGACACATCCAATTTTCTGACTACCGATTACATTTTTGGATGCCCTGGAGAACAAGGACAGTGGGAACACCCACAACACCCACAATATGACCACATTTCAAAGAGTAAACACCTCAAGGTATTTTTTTTAAAAGGCATGATGAGTCTTTTGAAGACTTTTTTTCTCAGTGTGTTTGAAAAATGTGGAAAGAAAATTAAAATAATTTTTCTGAAACAAAGTTGTCAGCTTAGTAACATATTTCTTGTACGTACTTAGAATTTCAACCCAAAACACATTCTACTACTCCTCCCGAGTATGGTGATACCACATGTGTGAGACTTTATCACTGTTTGGAATCATTATGCATCTGACATTGTATCTTGTAGGAAAGTAGTCAATTGGCTGTGCAGATGGGTTCATTCAAGTGGCAGCCATAAACATGGTCAGCAGATAGGCAAAGAATTGGTCCAGGCAGCAGGCAAAAACATGGTCAATACACAGGGCAGGGTCAGTGCAGACAGCAGCCAGATGCAACAATGCACTGGTGTGGCGGTGATCATAAACACAGTTGGCTGCACTGGTCTGGTGATAGTAATACTTGTGTAGCAGCAATCAGTAACACTGTTGCTGGGTTACACTGGTCAGGTGACAAAGGGGACTAGATTGATGCTCCCACTCATCTGTATATATACAGTGGCCAGGCAGGAAGCAGTTAAATATAGGGCTATCTCATATAAAGTAACACTATGAGGCATAGATTAGGGGGCAGCTATAATTACCCTAATCATTTTACCTAGCCGTCTGAGGTTTGGTTACTTTTAAATATTCTTTGCTTCCATTTCCTTGACACTTTTCATACAAAGTGTTAATAAGCTAACTGCCAATAATTTTGAAGGGAAAATGTTAAATGTGCAGGTGTTATAGAGCCCCCCTGTATCAACTTGTTTAATATAAATCCATTATTGTTTCTGTAAACAGGGGAAGGCTTTGAAGCCTGTAGAAAAAGAAGAGTTTTCTCCTATTGTTAAAATAAGTGAATCTGGTAAGGACATGGCTGTAGAATTGCTCCAGTCTATTGATCTGTATTTAGCATATCATTTGAAACTATATTTAAATCAACCCTGGGTTCACATTCAGTGACATTCTCACATTCCCACAAGAAACACAGGCAGCTAACCAAATAGTTACAATATATCACAATTCTATTATTAAAAAAACACATAAACTGTGTGTGTATATATATATATATATATATATATATATATATATACACTGTATATTATATACACACTCACCAGCTACTTTATTAGGTACACCTGTTCAATTGCTTGGTAACACAAATAGCTAATCAGCCAATCACATGGCAGCAACTCAATGCATTTAGACATCTAGACATGGTGAAGGCGACTTGCTGAAGTCAAACCGAGCATCACAATGGGGAAGAAAGGAAATTTAGGTGACTTTGAACATGGCATGGTTGTTGGAGGGGCTGATCTTAGTATTTAAGAAACTGCTGATCTACTGGGATTTCCATGCACAACTAGGCTTTACAGATAATGGCCTGAAAAAGAGAAAAAATTCAGTGAACGGCAGTTGTGTGGACAAAAATGCCTTGTTGATGTCAGAGGTCAGAAAGAGAATGGGCAGACTGGTTCAAGATGATAGAAAGGCAACAATAACTCAAATAACCATTCATTATAACCAAGGTACATGGGCGTATTTGCCTCGAGGCAAGCAAGGCACTTGCCTAGGGCTGCACTTTTCCGGGGGGCGGCACCTTTAAGTTCCATTACCTTACCTTGTTACGCAGGACTTTTGACAGTTCTTTTCTGATCCCCATGGCTCAGTATCTAGCCTAGTCAGTGCTTCCAAATAAGAGCTAACAAACTCATTGACTATTTATATACTGACACTAATTGCAATTTAAAAAGCCGCAGATGTGGGACATTAACCTCTAATTGGCATTTTTAACCCATGTGTGTCACCTTGTGTGTCTGTACCAAGGCTAAACATTCCAAGGTATGTAAACTTTTGATCATGGCCATTTGGGGGATTTCTGTTGTCGTTATGATTTAAAAAGGAGCCGAACAACTATTTGATAATAAGTGGCTTCATATTATTATTATTATTATAATACAGGATTTATATAGCGCCAACAGTTTGTGCAATGCTTTACAAAATGAAGGTAGACATAACAGTTACAATACAATTTGGTACAAGAGGAAACAGATCATCATCCTTCAATAAAAGAGCATTGTTTGGCATTATCAGTCATATTTTCAATATCAATGCCAAAATTTTCACAATTTATGCCAGGGTGTCCAAACTTTTGAGCACAACTGTATATACACTGCTCAAAAAAATTAAAGGAACACTTTGAAAACACACCAGATCTCAATGTGGAAAAATATCATGCTGGATATCTATACTGATTTGCACTGGGTAATGTGTTGTGATAGTAAGAATGCCCTATTGTTTGATGGAAATGAAAATGATCAACCTACAGAGATATTTCCTCCCAGATCTGGACCAGGGTATCACTGAACACCTGAACAGTCTGAGGTGCAACCTGGCGGCATTGGATGGATCTAAACATGATATCCCAGAGGTGTTCTATTGGATTTAGGTCAGGCAAGTGTGAGGGCCATTCAATGGTATCAATTCCTTCATCCTCCAGGAATTGCCTGCATACTCTCGCTACATGAGGACGGGCATTGTCATGCACCAGGAGGAACCCAGGACCCACTGCACTAGCGTAGGGTCTTAAAATGGGTTCATTTATTTCACCCTGATACCTAATGGCAGTCAGAGTGCCATTGTCTAGCCTGTAGAGGTTTGTGTATCCCTCCATGGATATCCCTCCCCAGAACATCACTGACTCACCACCAAAACGGTCATGCTGACCGATGTTGCAGGCAGCATAACGTTCTCCACTGCTTCTCCAGACCCTTTCATGACTGTCTCATATGCTCTGGGTGAACCTGTTCTCATCCGTGAAAAGCACAGTGCGCCAGTGGCGGACCTGCCAATTCTGGTGTTCAACGGAAAATGCCAATCGAGCTCTTTGGTGCTAGGCAGTGACCACTGGACCCACTAGAGAATGTCAAGCCCTCAGGCCACTCTCATGTTTCTAATTGTTTGGTCAGAGACATTCACACCAGTGGCCTGCTGGAGGTAATTTTGTAGGGCTCTGGCAGTGCTCACCCTGTTCCTCCTTGCACAAAGAAGCAGATACCAGTCCTGCTGATGGGTTAATGACCTTTTACAGCCTTGTCCAGCTCTCCTAGAGTAACTGTTTGTCTCCTGAAATCTCCTCCATGCTCTTGAGACTTTTCTGGGAGACACAGCAAACCTTCTGGCAATGGCATGCATTAATCTGCCATCCTGGAGGAGCCGGACCTCTGTAAGGTCCAAGTATCGCCTTATACTACCAGAAGTGACACTGACCCTACCCAAATGCAAAACTAGTGAAAAACTGTCAGTAAAAATGAGTAGGGAAAAAAATGTTAGTGGCCTCCACCTGTAAAACCATTCTTGTTTTAGGGGCCGTCTCATTGTTGCCCATCTAGTGCACCTGTTGTTAATTTCATTAACACCAAACCAGCTGAAACTGATTAACAACCCCTCTGCTACTTAACTGACCAGATCAATATCCCAGGAGTTTAATTGACTTGATGCTTTACTCTGATGAAAAATGTTTCCTTTAATTTCTTGAGCAGTGTATATATATACAGTATATATATATATATATATATATATATATATATATACATGCACTACGAATTAGAAATAAATTTATCTAAATCAATATACTAGCATACCAAAGATCAGTCCATTATATAGAAATGATACATGGCAGTAATGTTCACTGGGAATTTCCATTCAGAAAACCTAAACGTTAATGTATAAGCAGTCAGAATCAATAAGTTTCTCATAAAAATAAATGCAAGTCAAAGTGTTTATTAGGACTCTTTGAATATACAGTATAATAAATCTGAAATCCATTATACTTTTCTGCAATTGAGATTTAATTCCCTGTCCCCTCATCTACAAGACTTAGGGATATATGAACATGAA